TTCAATTTAGCTTAAAGATTTTGCACATAAAATTTGTAACACTCAATTAGTTTAAACGACAACGACAACGGCAATGGCAATGGCAACTCAAAATGTTGCCAGCCTGCGACAGCAACAACAACACCACCAAAAACAACAACAGCAACTAGCGAGCGATATACAAAACGGTTTAGCACCCTCCTGAGCGCTCCTGAGCGGCATGGCTCAGCGCACAAATCGCTTGAAGAGACACGCGAGTGGCGAAGTGGAGGAGAACAACAACAGCAACAACAACCACGTATGAATTTCATTTAATATGATTAGTGCTTTTCATACTTCATATGAGGTATAAACTGTTAGAGAGACAGGCACACAAGCACACTCGCACACACATAAACAAGTGCACAATTGAGGAGGGTTGAGGGCATCACATATTGGGTCATAAAAATATTTACGCTGCATACTTGCGGGCGCTGCAGCATAAATCAAGACCAAACCATCATTATGATGAGCACAGCGTCGAACAGCGGAACAAGACTTAATAAGAGTTAAAAGGTGGTGAAAAAATCACCAACAACAACAACTACAACAACAATGCAAGAAACATTGGCTCGTTAATAGAGGGTTGGGTAACAGAGTCTGAAGCATGCAATTTGGAGCATGAACAAAAATCAATTTAATTTCGCTAATGTAGTGTAATGCGTTCACAGGCCCAGTACCAGGCCCAGCCACAGGCAAAGGCAGCAGTTAAGAGAAGCATATCTACTGTATATATAGGCACAAACATTTCAAGTGGCATTTTTTCAAGACCCGAAAACGATTAGAAACAAATGGTCTATTCCTTGATGCAGCATGGGGTTGCCGCATTTAGGGTGGCATCCATTCGCCTTTAACCTAGCTTTTGAGGTTATGCCATTGAGTGTAAGACAAAAAATAAGGCAAATATACTAAGAAATGTAGGTATTAGTTCGTTTTCAAAATAATAATAGCATCGTAGATGATGCATGAAACAAATATATTTGCACCAAATTTTAATTGCTTATTTATTAATCAACAAACAAAGCTGTTGGTGTAAAAAACAATACAAGAGCTAGAAGAGGTTCAAATTAAAACATTATTTACTGAGTATGCATCTTTTATTTCTATTTTTATTTTTTATTTTTATTTATTTGCTCATAGCTATTATCATTTTATTTTACATTTTGTCTTTTTAACAATTTATGTTTAATTTTTATTTATTAGCTCAAAGTCATGTTGATTTAATTTTATAATCTTTTTATTTTAAAATAAATTAACAGTCTATAATTTTTAGATCAATTTATTTTTAAAAGTTGTTCATTTAAACTAAGAAAATACATTCCTTGAAACGACTAACTCAAAACTAAATTGATTAAAATAGGATTATTCCTTTTCGTAGAATATTTTCTGTAAATGTAATAAGTTAGTTAGGGTGAAAAATCCTCAAAAAAGACGATAATTTGGTTCTGACAAATCTAAAAAAAAAAGCTAAAGGTTAAAGCTAATTATACATATTTATTGGCAATTGCTGACCACAAACTATGTAAAATTTATTTTAAAACAAGGAACTATACTTACAATTAATTAATTGCTTGCCGATTTTATGACCCTCTCTGTCTCCACTTAATCTTTTAGCGCATACAAACTATTATTTTATTGCAAATTTATCGAAATAAAATGGAATGGATTATCCTTTGGCAACTTTTTACCATAAAAAAATTAGTAAAAACAAAACCAAAAACGATAAAAACTGTCACATATTTTTGGAGCGAAATTTACGCCTAACTACATTAAATGGAGTTTTGTAAATTGCTTTTGTATTGTTAATTTAAATGCACGTAATTTATTACGGCAATGTGCTCCATTTGAACATCATATTTTTTTCAGTGTACTTGTATAGCAGTGTATAGCATTTGTGCAAAGTCCCCACAATTCAATAGCATCCATCTACGGAACACAAAAGGCTTTGCGATGGCACTAAAACAAAATCTTCATTAATTCTGATCGATGACCATAAATCCTTTTCGGTGTTTGGCCAGCGCTTGGCCATTGCTTGTTCACGTTTTCTTTCCCTTATTTGCTTTGTTGTTGTTCTTTTTTCTAACGATTAAATATGCTGCATAGTTGCAACAATCAAATGATTGAACACTTACAACAAACAAAAGCAACAACCTAAGATGGTTGAAGAGGCGTGCGTGCAGCTTTCATCTCACTACTCCCGTTCTCATACAAATTCGACAGCTAAAAGCGTTTCCGTTTCCGTTTTCTTGTCTTTGTTTGCTTACATTTCTCATTGGCTACGCTTTTTGGGTTCTTACTTTTCGCTTTCTGCTTTTGGCCATGCGCCTGTCTCTACTGTTCTTGCTGCTACTGCCACTGCTACTTGTACTGCTGATGTTGTTGTTGTTGTTGCTTTTGGCCAACTCGCATCGCGTCGATGCAGTGAAGCGCGTTTATTTGTTGCTCGTAATTTATTTACTGCCCTGCTCCATGTTGGCGATGCTAATACCCCATTCCGCCCGCTCCCGCATTTGCTGCCATGGCCTGCAACTTGTTAGTTAAATATTGCCAGTAGCAGCCAACTCTTCTACTTCTACTTCTTCTTCATGTATCTGTAGCTGTATCTGCTGTATTCGTTGCTTTGTTGTTGCTACTGCCAGTGATAAATTAATCGCTACATCAGTTTTTAATTCCGTGTTTCTGACGATTTATCTTTGTGCATGCGTCGGCGTGTGCCGAATGAGTTGGCCTGTCATGGCATCAGAGCTTGGCATAGTGGTTTCAGAAATGCTGAAGATCTTCCGAAACTCAACTATAGCTTCAAGCTTTAAATTTGTCTCAGTCTTTAGAGATTGGAGTAGAAAAAAACCAACGGCTGTCCCTTTATACCATATTACCATCATCGGCAAAGCAAATTACAGCTACAGTATCTAAAAACCATTAGATATTGATTGCTTTAACCCAAGATTGCTTAAGCAGGTTCTTGTTTTGTTTAAGCTAAAAATAAATAATAATAAAATAAATAATAATAATAAAAATAATACAATAAAAATAAATATAATATGATAAAAATAAATATAAATAATATAATATTTCAATAAATTTCCGCTTTTTCTTAAAAGAAAATTGCGACAAGACTGCTATAAAGAGAGTTTATCTTGATTTGTTTCACTTGAAAGTAAATTTGTTCTCCTATTTCGTCTGCATGTTTTAGAATCTCCTTCTAAAGATCATCACTTCACATTAGTTTTAGCTGTTTTTTTCACATCTCTATAATGTGTTTATTGCAGATACATACCGTTTTGGCTTAGCTTGCGAGATGTGAATAAATTAGCAATTATATTATAATCTAAATTAAAAAAAAAAATCACCTAAAAGACTAGAGAAATCATAAAGTTGAAAGGCGAGTTCAAGGCACCAGCAGCACATGAAGTCAAGAACTTATCTTCATTTCAGATATAAGGGAATGCGGCCCCGGCTAATGACCTGGCCAGTCTATTTTGTAATCGCAGGACATCGCTCTTCCGACTGGCGAGTAACAAAGCAAGAAAAATTAATTATTTCTTGTTCACCATATTATTTTTAATACAAAAACACCCTTGACGATTCTTGTTTTAAAAAGAATAGAGTGAAAAAGAAATAATAACAAAGAATAATCATTTTTTTCTCCCCCGCAATTCCTTTCGTTATTATAAGATTCTATGCGCTTTTCCTTCAAGGTGCTTAAATAAATGTACGCAATGCAAACAAGAACTATCTCTTCATATCATACAGAATAATCTAACCTCAGATTTAAAATGGCAATTGCCTTCGTTTAGTCTGCGCAATTCGAACAGTCATTACTAATTGTTCAGAGAACAGTTGGATGGCTCAAGAAAAATTATAAAGTTCTATAGCTTGCGGACCACTGTGCTAGGATACGCCCGCACTATAGCGCCAGTCTTTAATGCCATGCCTGACATACGCGATTCCAGGCGCCCTCAGACCACGACCCCCATCGTCCACATCCAATTGCCAGGCTTTGGCCGTGCGCACTGTTTAAAATGATGTATGGCAAAAATTTTGACAAATGCACAAAAATGAGTCATGAGTTCGTCGTCGTGCAAACAAAACGTAGCTGTTGTTGTTATTGTTGTTGTTTTTGTTCTTCTTGCTTGCCGACACTATTTGCTGTTGACTTTTTCATGTACCCTTCAGTGTTGTTGTTCCTTTTTAGTGTGTGTTATTCATGATACAAACAAAAATTGGAGCACTCACTACTTATAGATGTTTTGGGCAATTGGAGTGCTGCTGGTGAGAGGGAAGGAGTACGAAATTTATTATCTGCAAGGGTTCACTTTTTATTATTAATAAGATTAGTACCAATACAATTCGACCTTTTAAATAAATTTAAGTGTTTTTTAACAAAATATATTATAAATTATATGCAAATATTCACTAATTGTTTTTAAAATAAAATGCAACCAAAATTAAAATTGAATTCTTCAAATAAGGCATGATAAATTTTTGCACTCAAATATTGGACAAAAAAACATGTATTTAATATATACAATTTTTAAGCAGCCGATAAATTATTTAATGCAGACAATATTATAAAATACAATACAAAAAAATCGAAAGTAAAAATCACATATTAACTCAAAATGCGAGAGGTAAGGTTTTTCTGTTTTTCCCACATTCTCATTTTCTTTTTTGAAACCTTGGCCTTCCTTATAGTATCTCTTTAATGAGAGTACATAGATTTGAGAAAAGTTACTTTGCTTTAAGAAACTGATCTGATTAGTTAATCAGTAAAATTGAACTACATGTACATGTAACTACATGGACATGTTTTTTCCTGTTTTTCAAACCCCAACACAGAATAAGTATTATATCTTTATACATTCTCAGTACCTTGGCTATGTGTATAACTCTTACATGTTTGCCTATCTGGTTACCCGTTCGATTGCTTTTATGTAATGTCAAACAAAATTAGTAAGTTTATTTCATTCCAACGTCTCACGTGGACCTATTCACAGCGTCTGGAATACGAGCTCCAGGCTATATTTTTTTCAGAGTTTTAATAAAAGTGAGAAAGTTTAAAAAAAAAGTGTAAGCTCGTAAATTATGGCAAATCGTTCTAACTACGACAACGGAAAAGGAAATCGTGAGTATCGTGATAACCGTGAGCAACGTGAACCTCGAGAAATACGCGAGCCTCGAGAGCATCGTGATAATCGTGAGACCCGTGAGGCACGAGACCCCCGTGAACAGAGAAATATTCGTGATCAGCGTGGCAATCGTGATCAGCGCGACCATTACGAGGCCTCCGAGTTTCGTGACCAACGTGACTTTCGTAATCGCGACCGCGATCGGAATGTACCCACAGATCCTCCATATATTGCCTACGTTGGGAATTTACCCAAAGGCCTCGTTCAAGGCGATGTTATGAAAATATTCTCCGATTTCGATGTCAAGAACGTTCGTTTAATCAAGGATCGTGAGACAGACGAGTTCAAGGGCTATGGATATGTGGAGTTTGAGACTCTGGTACAACTAAAGCGCGCACTCTCATGTAATGGACGCATAAAATTGGACAACTTCTCGGCGCCTCTGCGCATAGACATTGCCGATCATCGCCGGCAGGGAAATAGCGGTGGCTACGGTGGTGGCGGTGGTAATTTTAACAACAACAACAACAGCTTCTTCCAGCGTCGTGGCTTCCGACGCAATGAAAGCAATGGAACCCAAAACGTATTTTCTCCGCCGGCTGGCTCACGTAGTCAGAGCAGTATCCATTTTTCCAACATTGCCGGCAGCCCGACTACCAGCTCCATGTCAATGGGACGCATGCGTCCACGCAACAACTTCAACAACAATCGTGGCGGTCGCAACAACCACAACAACGGCAATGTCTATCAATACAATGATGCACAGCGCATGCGCGGCAGCAGCGAGAATGCCAGCATGCGTAGTGGAGGCCTACACCGGAATATGGATCGTCGGCGCAGCGCTAGCCCCGGAGCATCGAACAACGAATTGGATGATATGCCCAGCAGCAGTCAAACGGGAGGAGGCAATTATAACCGCCCACGTCCGCATTTCAACAACTTTCAGAGCTACAATAATAATAATCGGTAAGCAACAATCGCAAAAAGTTTATCGATTCGTTTTTGCCATGAAAATTGTTTCAGATAGGGAAGTTATTTACGCACAATATTTTACAAGTAGACAAAAAATTTCATGGCCTACTTAAAAAATGGCACAATAGGCAAATAGTTGTCTATCGAACAGTGTTTAACAATATTAAATTGATTTTATCCCACAGCTATAGCCACAGCAATGGCTCCCGTAATTCGGAAAGTCAGCAACGCATGCGCGCCTACGGCAGTAACTATACCAATTTTGTCCAGAATCGTACTCGGGATCGTCGCGGTCACTATAATCCCAACAGTGCCTATAACAATCCGAACAACGAACCGGCAATCACCAATAACAATATAGGCAATAATAACTCGGCTAGTTCAGCTCCAGGTGCAAGGACCAATATCGGCACCACTGACAATGATGATCGTCCGAAATTGGTTCTCAAACCGAGAACGGTGAGCGAGCCCATTAATGCTTTGGCCGAGACCAAGCAGGCGGCCAGTATTTTTGGTAAGGCCAAGCCCCGTGACGAGCAACTAGTGCAGCCAAAATCGCCAGTGACGTCACTGCGCAAGGAAGGCAGCAGCAAGGGAGATAGCAGCGACTAACATTAACACTTTCATGGAGTTGGAACGTATTTCCCCCCAAACAACGAAAGAGCGAAAATTACTTAATCACTATATGGACGAAAAGAGCAATAGAAGCAACAGTAACGGCAACAGCAGGAGCGGTATTCACACTACATATGTATATATATTTTGATATAACCTACATTGAAGCAACACAAATTTCTAAGTTGATCAAATTGATGGTTTTCCTGTCAACACACGTTAAATAAATAAAATTCAGGACATATTGCATTTTTATTGAATACTGGAATAAATTGAAAGTCGATCTCTCAAGCAGATGTTGCACTCGTATTTATGAAATAATTAACAAATCTAGCCATAGGCATACAAATTATCGTTAGTTCTGCGCATTTTACAACTTTAAGCAGGGTAGCTTTACTTATTATACTCTGTACATGAAATGTACAAGAGTATATTAGGTTTGCGGGAGCTGAAAAATGTAACAGGCAGAAGGAGGCGTGGCAGACCACACAAAGTATATATATTCTTGATCAGAATGACGAGACGAGTCGATCTAGCCCTGTCTGTCTGTCTGTCCGTCTGTCCGTCCGTCTGTCCGTCCGTCCGTCCGTATGAACACCTGGATCTCAGAGACTATAAGAGATAGAGACACCAAATTTTGCACGAAGATGCGTTATGTGTGTATTCTATACGAGTTTGTTTTTTTTTTTTTGATTTTCCCCCCCACTTCCCCCCTATGGGGGTTTTCCCGATTTTCCATTCGTATAATCGCCTATATCTCGGAGACTATAAGACCTAGGAACACCAAATTTTAGTCCCAGATGCCTTATGTGAATACGCAGAAAATGTATATTTTGGAATTCCCCTCCCTCCCCCCTCTACCCCGCAAATCGTAACTCCCGTAATTCTTGGAATTTCGAACTAAAATTTTGGAAATACCCCCAGTTAGTTATTATGTGTCCGTATGCCAAATTTCATTATAACCGATTTAACAAGAAGTTATAGCCATAAATATATTTGCTGATGCAGCGCTGCTCAAGCGCTGCCCGCGGCTGTTGTTGATGTTGCTGTTTGGCTGACTGCGAAAATGCTTACACAGACACGAATTGATGCGCATAGGCATACATACACTCACACAGACGCAATTGCTATGTAAATGTGCAATTATACACCCTTTACGTGAGCTCGAATACCGAGAGAGGTAAAATCGATCCAATTTTTTTTTTCTTTTTTTTTATTTTCTATAATTATTGTAAACATATGTACAGAGTATTTCAAAGTCGGGACACCCGACTTTAGCTTTTTTACTTGTTATTTATTTATTAATATTTATATCAACAAACATTAACTGTTGATAAAGGAATTGTTTTCCGATGGGAGAATATTATTTGTCTTTCGGCTTGCTATGCCCGGACTCATCTATTAAGGAACGGGGGAACATAATTTATTTTTGTTCTGCAGGGAATTGAAAAATTAAGACGACTTAAAAGGAAAGGAGAATCGACACTTCCGACAATCAGTTTGTTGAGAACTACAGCTACAAGGACAGTACTTTTTATAAAAATATATTAATTATAAAATTAATCTCTGTATATATAAAACATTTTGTCCTCACTGACTGATTGGCAATCAAGGCACAGCCCAAACGGTAAGAGCTAGGAAGCTAAAAATTGGACACAAGATCCCTCCCTCTAAGAAAGGCTTTTGTAAAATTCGAACTCCAAAGAGGGGAAAACGAGAAAATATATTTGTTATAAAGGTCATGTGTGTGTACGTTTAACGAACTATTTTGGCAAGACCAAAAATGTAACGGACTACTGAACAATTTTTTTTCAAGAACAGAAAATGTTCATTTAAATGCCTTAAATACCTTCCTACTGGTAACTAATAAGGTGAAAACATAGGTCATGCACACACAAAATAAATACAATTTGAGACATTATATTGAGTCGGATAAAGACGGGCAATACTTGCTAGTGTTTACATTACAAAAAATAAAATAAACTCGTCCTTTCTCGGACATAGGAGAATCATGATACCAACTTTGGTTATACTAGCCTTTATAGTTTCTGAGATCCTTGCGTTCATCCAGACGAACAGACGGACGGACATGTCTAGATCGATTTCTCTCGTCACGCTGATTTAGAATATATATACTTTATGGGGTCGGAGATGCTTCCTTCTGCATGTTACATACTTTACACAAACCTAATATACCCTTTTTACCCTATGGGTACAGGATATAATAATTACATGGTGCATCTTTACGATAAAATTGAAAACAACGCCAAAGCTACTTGTGGCACTGTTATCTATAAGGCTATAGGGGTTTATATATCAAGTTCAATAAATAGATTGCTATCCCTTATCAGCTGCAAAACTTATTCTAAAACAAACCTACGGGAGTCCCTCTATCCAAAAAAATATTTTGTAAGAATATTAAAGCGGATCACATCAGTCTTAGCTCTTATCTCTGAAATATCAGCTATGACCACATCGTGCATATCGAAATGCCAAAGAAATCTCTCCTTATTGGCAGGGAATACAGAATAGAGGAAGCAAGAAAAAAGCTGTACATTTATATTAAGGCCTATTTTAAAGCGCAAAAATAAGCATATGGTGTGGCATCCTGGGACTAAAAAATAAAATCTTTTCTTGGCCAGAAAATAAATAAATATTTTAGATGCCAAAGTGCTCAGGCATCCCACAGCTAATTAGAGGAGGCAAATTGCTTTCACTTGAAAAACATTATCAGTTACAAATGCGCTCGGAATCTGCTGTCCCGTTCCAAATGACCCATAAATTTCAAAAGTTAATGCGCAGTGACAAAAATTTTGGAAAGCGGCGCCGCAACACCTCCACAGGACTGAAGAGGCCACTGCTGAGCACTTGAGCAGGACTCGCGGCATTAACTAGTCAACTTGAACTAATTGAATTGAATGAGATTAAAGAATTTCACGCCAAAATGAAGACATTGCAACGAAGCGAAACGTGCGAAGCGAAAGGACCGGCCAGGACAGCAGCCAAGAGCCAATAACTAGCACCCAGGAAGGAACCAGTGTGGTATTTATGGCCCGAAGATTTACGAGCCACAACAAGCACTTGGTATCAAACACTGAGCGGGCGTCTGGGCCACGTCAACTAGGCGCAGGCAAATTGGCTTAATTTCTTTTTAATTTTCTTCCGCTGTTTGGCTTTTTACATACATTGAGTTCACAAAAGAAATTCAATTTGAAAAAGTGGCCGCGACCGTTCGTTCGTTCGTTCAAGAGGTGAAATGGATGCCGGAATGGTCGTAGACTTGTTTCAATTTAATTTCAGCCATGAGAGTACCTTTCGGCCGCTACCCCAACCCAGCAATGAAAGCCAATTTACGCACGAACATTTTCAATTTTCGACGCACAAACCGCAGCCTCAGTCCTGGCTACTGGAGGTCCAGTCCCCAGGTTCCCCCCACCCCCTGCCCAGCAGAAAATGCGCTGCACTTTATAGAAATCCCGCGTAAAATTCACAAGCATTAAAGGACTTACTTGTACTTTGCCTTGGTTTGCGTTTTATTTTTATTATTTCTTTTGAAGTTGAAGGCCTGCCTGCTCCTCATTTTATTTTCTATTTTTTCACTTTCTATTTGCCTTTTTCTTTAGCATTTTTCCGCGCTTTTCCCCATTTCCCATTTCTTTCGTTAATGTGTCACACGCACTTTATAAGCCATTGTTGCTGGCGTCTGGCAAAGTTGACGACGCTACGTTGACGCCCATGGCGCAATTATTATGATTATTAGGTACAGCTGCACTGGCGCAGCACCACTTATAAACAAAATTGTAATTTACCTCAGCCGGGGTCAGCCCAGAGCTCCGCTCCTGCGTCCTGGAAGCTGCTTCTGGCGTTTTGCGCCACTTTCATCAGCAAGCCAGCCAGCCTGATGGCTGATGGCTTATGGTTGCAGCGCCTTGGGGGTCACGCATTAATAATCGCGTTGAATGACTTCATAATGAAAATATTAAAGGTGTTTTTTATTAGAGACCGGGTCGGCAGCACAAGTTGCCGCTTTGTGTCAACACAAAAGGCGCCAAAGTTTATGTTTATGTCACGCGTTCAGGCTGCTGGGCAACGTGGGCGTAATTTAATCATAATGCGTACTTTTTTTCATTAACTGTAAGTGCAGCTGAAGCAGAAAGCTAAGAAAAGTGTGAACAACACCACGAAGTTGAACCTGAAAACAGCAGTATAAACAAAAAGTAGATTGTGAACTCAGTTAAGAAATTTGAGAAAGCCAGAATGGAATGCGAGAAGCCTGGAAGGTCGACTCTTAAAAGTACTGCACACAATTTTAAAAAATATTTTTATATTTAGTTCAAATATAATACTTTCAAGACAGAATATTCAATTTAAATATAGGCCTAATGCAAGAACTTTGCGAATGGATTTAACTTTGCAAGTAAAAATTAAAAATAATTTTTTTTTTTCAAAAACTATAATCATTGCCAATCGACAACCTACGAGGTACAGATTTATTAATCTGTAAGCTTAAATATTAAATATATTAAATATTGTTCAATATAGTCTCCTTTAAGGCTTATGCACTTTTTCCAACGTTGCTGCCCTTTGTTTAACCCCTCGAATAAAAATGTTTTTTTTAAAACTTTTCCAAATGCAGGTCTGTCTCAATGGCCTCCTCTTCATTGAACTCCATGAAATTCCATGAAATTGTGGCCATAACCTCTCTTGCTAATGGAATCATGTTTGCTGCTCTGACCCATCGAGCCAACACTTTCCTAATAGACATCGAACCTTTTTCTTTGCATGTTTTTTGATAAATTTTGACACGTGTAAGTAAGTGTGTAATTTACTAATCATGGAAACTTGTAATCAACATCTTCAGTAAAAGTTTACTCTTGAAAGAAGGCTAAGGAAATATTGAGAAATTTTTCTCAAAATTTTGCCCTAAATTGAAAAATTAATCTGAAAATAATTCAGTTGCTAATTCCGTTGCCAAATAATTATATAAAAACTGTTGGCAAACTGTTGCCACGTTACAAAGTTCAATACAAGCCACTGGCTTCCTCTCAGAATTTAATAAATTGCAAAAAAAAAAAACAATTAAAGCTATTCAAGGGAGCAACAAGCAAAGTTTTGAAGCAATTGTATTTGAAATGTAGCCTTGGCTAATTGTCATGCCATCGACGACATCTTATCGGTACAAACACAACAACACACACACGCACACACACATTGGAAACAACAAACAATTTGGGGAAAATTTATGCAACTAAATC